AAAACGCTCCACGACCCTCACATGGCCTGGCCGGTTCGGCCTCCCATATATATATATATCGTCAAACAGGGCTTCCCGAGCTGCTCTATGCTGAGCCATGTACTTGTATTTGAACATACATACTCGACAGCAGCCCGTGAAAAAGAAAACGCTACACGACCCTCACATGGCCCGGCCGGTTCCGCCCCCCAACAAACGAGGGGCTGTGGCAAACTGTTTCGTCAGAGTTTCACCAACTGACTCATCAGGAGGAGGCTGAACACTCAACAGTTTGCAGAATCCCCTAACTGATTACACTGCCACCTTAGCCCCGGCTGTGGTTAAGCATCAACGACTGCCCGACAACTGATACCCTGAGGTGGGCACCAACCACTGCCCTCAAGCTACCTGTGGCAAAAGTCAAAGCAGACTATCACTCACCCACACCAGATGGAAAACTCTACAGACTGTCTGTCGGTTCATACCCCATCACAAGCAACAACCAAGCAAAACACCCACGAAACAAAGAAAGGTCTGTCACAGCCAAAAAACACACTCCAGACACGCCGCTGTATATATCGTCAAATAGAACTGCCYGGTAAACCGTAGGCAGAGAGGGAGAAGAGGACAACAAACGAGGGGCTGTGACAAACTGTTTCGTCGGAGTTTCACCGACTCATCAGGAGGCTGAACCCATATATATATATCGTCACAAACAGAACTGCCCGGTAAAACCATAGGCAGAGAGAGAGAAGAGGACAACAAACGAGGGGCTGTGACAAACTGTTTCGTCGGATATATATATATTCACCAGATGGAAAACTCTAAAAGAGTGCACTTTGCAAAACGAACGGTAAAGATTAAAAGACAAGTCAAACATGAGGGGCACACTGAAAGTTTGAAACCAGTCATTTTTTCTCATTCTTCTTTTAACTCCCCCTTCATCGTGCCTCTCAAGCACAAGGTTTGCCAGGTTGATGAACTTAAACGGTCTGTACCTTTCCCAGCTATGGGCCGCGGGCCCTGCGCACCGAGTTTCAGCGGTGCATCTGGCTGCCGCGCCGGAGGCCGAGTGCGGCCTCCTTGTTAACCGGCGCATCTCAGCATTTTGGCTGGGAAAGGTACTGGTGGCTTAAGTGCAATCTGCCCCCATCCCGCTAAAGGGGAGGTGATAAACACAGCGAAGAGAGATGAAGAGAAGACAAACAAAGAACGAAAAGTAAGGGAAATTACGGAGTGTGGAATGAAGAAAAGTCCCACCTTACCGAAATGTCATGGGCATAATCCGAAGGAAACCAACATACGATTTCAGATAAGTGAACCAACATATGTCTGTGTAGGATCCTCAGAGACTATATGTAAAACAACTTCAGGCGGTTAGTATAGTTGCCTTGAAACAAGTTGAAGGTAGAGTCCTTTCTATGTAGAGATCCATAGAGTGCTACTATTGTATGTATACTGAGCAACAACAGGCTCGAGCGGGCTAGCGGCCACAACATGAGGTGGATGGGCACATGGAAGAGTCAACCGAGTATTCTCAGCACAACAATTGCCACGACGACCGCCAATGAGCATGCCCACCATACGCTCCCGACAAATGGCATGTCGATTGCAGGCCAAAATAAAGGAAGCACACTCACCACAGAAGACCATTCATTCAGTATAGCACCCACAGTCGCAAAATGCACATTTAGTGTCCGGATGCGGAGGGTGCCTGCAGTCAGGAACGGGGGGACAACAGACGGTTGGTGCATATCCCATCACAAGCCGGCAAAATACTCACGAAGCAAAGAAAGGTCTGACGCAGCAAAAAAATACACATCGGACGTGCCACTGGCACTAGAGGCACAACATGGCCGCTTCGTGACGGCCCCGGCCACTTACGCTCGACCTGACCGGAGAAAACCGTAGTAGGGTGCTGTTGAAGTCGTGGTATATATCGTCTAACAGAACTGTCCGGTAAACCATTGGCAGAGAGGGAAACGGGACAATAAACGATATATGTATAAAAATATCGTGCAAAGAGAATGGTCCGATAAACCGTAGGCACAGAGGGAGAAGAGGACACGCTTTACATCAATATCGTCCCAATAATCCATTGGGCATAAACTCTTCTGTAGATAAAATAGTTTTTTATCCCTATTTTTACGGTGTCCGGCTCACAACCAATTTCGATGGGCTTTCAGTTCAATCAAAACCTAGGCAACGTCACTGCCATTGCGCAATGTTGCTTAACCCATCCAACTCACCCAATTAGGATCAACTCGATGAGAATCTGTTCGATTGCACATAGGTGCTCGTAGGCGCCAGTCGTTCTATTCTTCTTCTTTAAAAGAACCAAAGATAGGTTTGCCATTAAAAAAAAAAAAAAAAAAAAAAAAAAAAAAAAAAAACTTAATAAAAAGATTCCTCGTTGCGAATCTATGGCAAAGTTCTAGGAATGAAATCAGTTGAAGTGAGAGGACCAAGGTTTAGGTTATAAAAATCCTTCGGCCTTACGTGGTTTGCAATTTGGAGGTCTTATTATAACCAAAGATTAGCAGCCCCTGACATATGAAAGGAACTCCTCATAAGAGATGCACTGAGATTTCACACAGGTGTTGCATGGTTGTCGTCAGCTCGTGTCGAGAGATGTTGGAGATGTTGGAGGTGTTGGGTGAAGTCCTATTGCTTCTACATCGCAACAATGTGTGATCGATCGTGGTACCTCCGTTAACTTAAACAGAACCATCCCGGATGGAATGGATGACTCCAAGTGAAATGAAATTAAATAGGCCGCTGAGGGGGCTGTGAGAAACTGTTTCGTCAGAGTTTCACCGACTCATCAGGAGGCTGGACCCTCAACAGTCTGCAGAACCCCCACAAACTGATGATTACACTGTAAGTGATAGATAATCCACCTAAACCCCATTCAGTTGTGGTTAAGCATCATCAACAACTGCCCGACAACTGATACCCTGAGGTGGTCGGGACCACCAACCGCTGCCCTTAAGGTACGTGTGAAGAAAATTGAAGCAGACTATCACTCACCCACACCAGATGGAAAACTCTACAAACTGTCGGTTCACACCCCATCACAAGCCAGCAAAACACCCACGAGTCACAACCAAAAAATACACTGCAGACACGCTGCATATATATATATATATATATGTATCGTCACAAACAGATATATATCGTCAAATAGAACTGCCCGGTAAATATATATATAGTCACTCATTTTCTTGCCGATAAATCTCTTTGTAAACGATTTGGATATACTTGTGTCCTTTTTTTTTTTTTTTCAAAATAATGTTTCAACAAGGTGTTGGACTTCATGTTTGCTATGATACTCAGTCCCTCACACATCAATTACCATGCACTCCTCCATCTTCGCCCGAATAGAATGCCTGGCCATTATACCTGCACGTCAGGGAACTTTCAATCGAGGTACAGCAATAACGTCTGGGCATCCTTTTTTTGTCTTTTTTTTAAGGTCGACAGCCTTCAGATATCATCATGAAACTGACCGACCCAGGTAATTCAGGCATGCAAAGTTCATCTGGTTCCATCTGGATTCGAGCTCACGTCTGCATTTCCACAGTTTATGGGTTTACCAACAGAGCTAAGCCCCCGTTGATAATGTCTGGGCGTCCTATTCCAGCGAAGACGGTCGTTACGGACCATGGCTGTACACTGCATCCACCTGCCAGGTTGAAGTCTGCAAACCTTTCCAACCCATGCACCGAACCAAAAAAAAAAAAAAAAAAAAAAAGAAGAAGAAGAAAGAAAAAAGAGCATCAATTGAGCCATCAGTCAATTATGCAGGACGGCAGAAAGTGCCCCATATGATTAATGGGATCAGTTGACAAGATGGCCTTCGACTACCATCTTAGACCGCCAGTGCATGGCCCAGCCTTGCAGAAAGTTTTTGTCTCCACAAGCAAAACTTGGAGGGGCCGTGCGGCATGGGTCACCGTTGAGGAAAAAAAAATGCGCGGCCTCGGAAGTGGTGCGGGTGCCACGCTGACACCCGCGGGCCTGTCTATGGTGTACTGGTGCTTCAAACCACCGATATCTCCGAGCCTCGCTTTTACCTGATACAGTCTGGACTCTGGACATGTGGATATGCCAAAGAGTTTGGAAAACGTTGAACTGTTACAATCTCTCTAGCAGCTGCTGCTCCCCACCAGTAGATAAGAGCAACCAGCGGAGGGCGGGAGGTGGCAGGAAGGAGGGGGTGGGGGGTGGGGAGGGAGAGGGATCCATCTCTAGAGTCTACAGTCCATTTACATAAGCATTGGCTAACATGTGGGTATGCTAAAGCGCCTTGAAGGGGGTCAAATCTATTCTTTTCCGCTCGTCAGCTTCGCTGCCTGGCCAAGAGAACTGTTTCAGTTGCGGCCCTGGAGTAGAGCGTATTCATGTATTTTTGTGGTCGTGTGATTTCATTTGTTCCGCATTGTTGTGCGGACTTGTAAAAAAAGCTCTCTCAGGCCAATGGAGTATTTTGACATTGCACTTCTCTTTTTTTTTTTTTTTAATGACATTGCACTTTCTCAACGTTGCTTGCCATTCTGATCAGGCGACCCGACGGTGGTGGTGGTTATCACTGGTTACTCACAGTTACGTTTTTTGGAGTTTTTTCTTGTTTCTTTTTTTTTCCCACAGGCTTGTCACCATTCTGCCCTTGAAGGCTGACCCAACCCAGGGAAGCGATCAGGGATAGGGCTTGGTTTAACCCTTACGGGCATATACTTGCACTCGTACTTTTTCGGCTGCGCTCTGGACGGGATTACAGTCACATGCATCCAGGTCTGTGCCTAATTGCAGCCAGACACATTTAGAAAAGTGCTAGTGTGAATATGGACGAAGACTTCTAAAAATAGGAAATGGGTGGCGATGATGATGATTAGACGATGTGCGCAGCGCAAATAAAGCACCGAGTCATCGGAGTCAGTGACACAGATGGTTCAGTTCCCATTACTGACTTTGTGTTGTTGTTCTGGTTCTTTCTTTTCCTTTCTCTTTTGGCGAAACAGGTACATCAAAGGATTCCGCTATTCGTGGGGAGTGCAGAGGAGGTGGAGAAACTGGAATCGTACTTGAAGCAATAAACACCCTTCATCAGAGAGAGAGTGGGGTGGTGGTCGGATGCAACCCCTCGTGACTTCCCGTGTTTCCACTTCTCTTTACGTATTTGTTCGTATGTGAGGACATATCTATCCCTATCAATCTGTGTATGATGTCAAGCAAGCAGGCGCGCGCGCGCGCGCGCGCGCGAGAGAGAGAGAGAGAGAGAGAGAGAGGGTAGGTGATGAAATCGATGAGAGCAGGCAGGGCAGCAACTTCAAGTCTGGTTCACGATCTGAGGCATTATAGAAAAGTGAATTTCAAACTGACATAATGTGTACTATTCTGTACTATACGTTCTAGAAAATGAGAAGCCTTCAACTTCACATGCAAAAGTGTTTCCAATATTATGACAATAACAACAGGTTGTGTCAGACTTGTTCCTTGGCCGTTCGCGAGCTCGCCGTGTGGCGATTACAGTCAGCCACCTGGATCTCAGTACAAATTCGGAGCTTGCGTCCTCAGGATGTCTGCAGACTCTGCGCTCCTGTGACTGCAGGACTGCTCCTGCCCATCCCTCGCACAATCAAGCAAACTATGGCTACTCTGAACGCAGAGTCCGCAGCATAATTTATTGACATTGGCAGATCACTGTGATTCAGAATGCCCTACTCTGTATTTTAAGTCGCCTACAATTTCTCTGGTGCTGAACAGTAGTCAATGGTCATCCATCGAGCGTCAATTCGATTGTATTCCCCGCATGGGCCTCGTCTTCTTTCACTGAAAACAGCTTCAAGAAAGAATGGGTAAGCAGTAGAAGGGCTGCACTTGTATCCACTCTCTCTCTCTCTCATCGCGAGGAGGTTGACTTTCTACGGCCAGGCTGGTTTGAGCTTGTCCAGGGAACACGGACACTGCTTCAGGCCATCGCCTGAAACACTTCTTCCACCCCCAGGGGCCAAATCCCACTCGCGGCATCGAGTTTCCTCAACGCCTGAATCTGGACGTGTTCGTGGCAATGTGCGGTCGAGGAAACTCAGCGCCATTTCTGCACATCTCCGCAAACACATTCAGATTCAGGCGTTGAGAAAACTTAACGCTGCTTAGTGGGATTTGGAATTTTCGACCCGGTTTAGCACAACTCTTGAGATAAGTGCGTTTGCCTAGAGTGGCACCAATCGCGCCTTCCTAACAGGTCCATGACATGTCATCGTCTAGAGATACCACACAAAAGCAAAAGGCGGAAGCAAAACCAGAGACCTTCCACCAAAGTCGTGACCTCCACTCCCTCAGCCGTAATGCACGACATTGCACGTTTGTTATCTCTGTCGGTGCCTGCAGCGAACCACCTTTATCTAAAATCAGCTATCTTTCATTTAGTGGACAAGTGTCTAGAACTGTCTAATTTGGCAAATATTTCACACTGTTGCTATATGCGACCGCCGATCAAACCATTCCTTGTTTCTTTTGTTTGGGCCCCTCTGTTAAACCACCACCACCAGTACACAACTCAGGCAAAACCCTAATAAAAGTGATGATGTATGCGTGCTGCAACGTCGGGGTTCGAGGTTGGCAGAGCAAAAACGCTAGCACCACCATGCCAAAAGGAAGAAAACTTGTGCTCAGACCAGATCTTTTTTTTGTGTGTGTTCAGTTATGCCGCACGAGCAGCCTCTTTCAAAAGAGGACCGTACATGATGGTGGTTTAAACCACCTGGCAGTACTTCCGAGGCTTTTCTCCGGGCTGGGAGCGCCCTTGACACCCGGGCCTCCTTTTGGCTGCCGCCACCAGCCATTTTGCTCCGGAGGCGGAGCCCTGAAAGTTGCAGCAGCGTACAAGCCTCGACTTTGAGCGACTTTGACAAATGGCTGGGGAAATATACTGGTGGTTTGAACTTTGAAGTAGTACTTTTTTTTTTTTTTCAAAAGCTGAGGGTGTTGTGGAGGCCAAGGACCAGACCCGCAGTGATTGCTAGTAGCGGCAGCCAATGGTTGTCCTGACAGGATAGGCCACCTGCCCTACCCATTCCCACGTTAATACTCCCAGAACACCCCCTGTCCCTACTATCCTACCTCAGTGTGACCAGCACTCAGGACCATCGCCCTACCAGTACCGAGGGCCAATGCCCTAGCAATACCGAGGGCCATCGCCCTACCAGTACTGAGGGCCATCGCCCTACGAGCACCGAGGGCCATCGCCCTACCAGTATCAGCAGTGACAAGCAGCAAGGCTGGGCCAACCTCCCAACCCTGATGGAAGCGGAAGCGGACGAACCTTGCAGTACCGGAACTTCAGACGCCAGGCTCATGCAATCTTCTACAGGCCCAATTGAGAGAGTCTACCCAGCAGGACTACCTAAGCAAGGCAGGCCAGCGCCCGCGGACACATCCTACCGTCCTTCTCCTAGCTTACCCAAGGCTAGGCGGAGCTCATACTAGCTGGAGCGACTTATATCCCTACCCCCCCCCTAGAGCTAAGCCATGCACGAGTAGACCCCGTCATAAACCTGATAGACCCCCCCAGCCCAGTATCGTAGTTGTGTGGGTGTGTGTGTGTGTATGCCCAGAGGCTATGTATGTTTGTATGAGCCCATAGGGCCATGTGTTTTGTATCTGCCCGAAGGCTATGTGCTCTGCGTAACTGTGTAGCGAGATGTATGTGCCCGAAGGCCAGATATGTGCAGTCTATGTGTGGTCTGTATAACTGTATAGCGAGATGTACGTGCCCGAAGGCCAGATGTGTGCAGTGCTATGTAGAGGGAACTTATGTGTTCGTTTGAAGAGATGACAGGCCAAGCTGGACAAGGACCCCCCCAAAAGTCTCAAGCCAGACTCGAACCCGTGATCTATGACATGTGACCCGAAGACTCTACCATTTGAGCGACAATCGCAAATGGCCCCCTGTGTGTGATATGCCAGACTGGGGATATCAACAGAACACCCAAGACCAACACCCCCAAGCAACCCATGCAGTGTCAAGACCCGACATACAACACCATGGACATTGCCGTGCGTCAGCCCTCAAGGGAATGTGTGTCCAGCCGTGCGTCAGCCCTCAAGGGAATGTGTGTCCAGTCGTGCGTCAGCCCTCAAGGGAATGTGTGTCCAGCCGTGCGTCATTCTAATGCCCTGCCGGTGTCCATGCACAAGGCTGCAATTGAGTTGTGAACCAGCAACCTCATACCACAATGCGCATTTCCGACCGGTCCTCTAACCACTGAGCTACATCAACTGGACTTGAAGTAAGGATATAGGTACTTTATATCTAATCTTTGGTGCAATTGCTGGAGTAATGGGCACATGCTTCTCTGTACTAATTCGCATGGAATTAGCACAGCCAGGAAATCAAATTCTTGGTGGAAATCATCAACTTTATAATGTGTTAATAACAGCTCACGCTTTCTTAATGATCTGTGCGCCGCTGTGCTAGATGTTTGCAACCACACCACTGCAACAACGTGGTGAATACCTAGGACTTACCATAAATAAAATAAAATAAAGGTACCGATAGCTTGTCCGTAGGTATATGTTCTCAAAGGCTCAGGAAGGAGTCCACTATAATATAATGTACACCAAGGTCATATTATGCAACAAATACCGCCCACATAATCGCAGTGTATCCTTTGGCGCATCCATTAAAAAAAAAGAAAGGAACAACACATAGAAAATCGTTTTGCAAGGAGGATGCAACAATGACACAAACGAATTGAGAAATGGTTCTTCCCCCCCGCACACACACACAAAAAAAGGGGCAAGTGTTTGAGTCATGATAATTGCCTTCTTCCCAAAAAAAAAAACAAAAAAAAACGGATGCAGATTGGTTTGCGGGTAACTAAGAAAAGCGTGGAAAACTTATGATTGGAGATCTGTTCGACCCTCGTCCAGCTCGTAGCCTGGACCATCTTCCCCCAAATAGAACGTGCCGTCATTATAAACCGTATTTGGCTCACCTTTCTGTCCGGATGCAGGGAAAATGACTGTACGAAGTTATATTCGGGGGAAGAAGGTCGGTCGAAAGCTCCACAGGTTTTTTTTTTTTTTTTTTAAATAAAACAGGTCCTTATGCTCTTGACTCCATATCCATTCTGTCTGGGGAGCGTCAGTCCGGTTCCTATTCCCCCGGCAAGTCGAAGTAGCAGTATTACATCACGTACCCACTCGTGCATCCTTCCGTCTGCTCGAAGCAAAGTTCGATATGCTACCAACTCAATTCCAATATCGGCCGAGCAGACCCTTTTCCACCCAGATGCCTGTGTACTTGAGTGCGGTCTGCTTACACAACCATTTGCAAAATTTCAGCTCACCTGCACCATACATTTTGCCTGATCCCTTAGCGATGCTCATCCACATGCAGCATTTTGTACGTCCGTAAGCCCTGCGATTGCTACAGCGTACCCTCCATTTACGAAGACTAGCCAGGGCAGCAGGGAGGTGCGGGGAGGTGAAGAAAAGGAAGGGCGGGAGTGTGGAGGGAGGAAGAGAGCATGGGAGGAAGCAGGAAACCTCGTTGGCTCCTCGATACTCACCAGCAAAGAAAATTTTGCTAGAGACTGCATAGAAAGATTACAGAAAACCTGGAAAAAAAAAAAAAAAAAAACATAAAACTTCGATCGAAAAAAACAAGAACTGCCTTGAAAGTACGAAACACCTTGCAAACATGGAAATCACAACTTCAGTTGCAGAATGGCAAGGCTGCCAAAACGCTGCTTACGTATAGCAACAAGTTGACAACAACAAAAAAGTTGGTATTGTCCCAGCCTGGGGCCAGCTCATATTGTGCTATTCATCACTGTCAGGACTGCCCAGACGATGGGAGAGAGGAGAAGAAGCCTCCAATGCTCTTGGTCTACAAAGAGCACAGAACAGCACAACATGAACCACATACCTACCATCTTCGGCCACCGTCTCCCGGAACGAGGAGAAGAAACCTCCAATGACCATGCGTTCGATTCAGGGGAAGATGGCAGGAGAGCCTCAGGCAGGGTACTGCTGATTTGCAAGACTCTTCTCTTTTCAGGGGAAGACGGCAGGGTACTGCACGCGTCACAAGACTCTTCTCTTTTCAATGCAGAACCGGTCGGAATGCATGGCAGTTTTTCAAGACAACTCGGTCCATACGTCACACTCATCGTACTTAGCATCAGGAGCATTTCCACAAGCGTGTGTTAACTTTTGCTGCATCCAACGGGGGAGGGAGGACGAGGGGGTAGACCACGTTTATGGGGGGGCTTGAGAGGGCGGGTGGAAAAAGGGTATGGAGGAGGGGGAGCAGGTAAGGGGGAGAGAGAGGGAGAAGATAAGGGTCTAGAGGAGGTAGCAGGGAAGAGAGGGCAGGGAGACGGAGACGGAGGCAGGTGGGGGGAAGGGGGAAAAGAGAGAGGGGTATCGACAGGGGGAGGCGAAGGAACGCATGAAGAGAACTGTGGCATGAAGCAAAATGTGGCCACTATACGCACTGCGGAGCGGGTACCAAATGCATGCCAACATACCCACCATCTTTACCCCCCCCCCCAAAAAAAAAAGCTCCTCCTGCCCTTGACTGTGTTCAGCCAGAGAGGTCACGTGCTAATGTACTATATTCGACCACAAACATAACGTCGTCTATTACATCCATAAATTCCATAATAATGGGTGCATTTCATGGCATCATTTGAGAAGGATAATCAACTCCACAAATATCGATTAAAACTCGAAATCTTGTGTTCGTATGATTTTTTTTTTAAAAAGAACATTTGAAAAAGATTGTCTGGGTTGGTAYATATACAAATTTCCTTTTTTGATATTTTATATTTGTTAATCCATTTTGGTAAAAAAGCCATCAAAGATTTGAAAAAAAATTGATTGTGCACAAGCTGCGCTCCTTTTTTTTATTTTGGGTTTAGGGTGTTTTGCACTCCTATTTAGTATGTATGATGAACTTCAATAAAATACGCTTTGGATGCAAAAAAAGCTTATCAAGAAAAAAAACACAACATATTGAAAAAAGATTTCCGTATACTATTTTAGCACAGCAGCAGACAGATCATTAAGAAAGCATGAGCTGTTATTAACACATTATAAAGTTGATGATTTCCACCAAGAATTTGATTTCCTGGCTCTGCTAATTCCATGCGAATTAGTACAGAGAAGCATGTGCCCATTACTCCAGCAATTGCACCAAAGATTAGATATGAAGTACCTATATCCTTGTGGTTTGTGGAAAACAGCCATCTCTGAGTCTAAATGAAAGGAGTGAAATAAAGAGCAGCTTCTGGAAACATTGGTATTGAAAATCTTAAAAAATTAAAAAAAACATAAGTTCCCAATTTTAAGGGAATTCCCGCTAAGATAACAGATCCATCGGTGGGTGCTTCTACATGAGCTTGAGGTAACCAAATATGAAGTGAACTGGTAGAAGTGATGTTGCACACATGAGTTTGGTCTTCTCATGTAGGTAATTTGAAAGTTTCGAGTACAACAAATGTAGAACTCGAGTTAGTAATTCACAAGTAGTCCGCGAACACGAAATGAATGCAGTACATGCCAGAAACGTACACCAGCACTAGACATAAAAGTCTACGGCGCATGTCCACCAGAACAACCGGAGGTCAGAAATATGCTAAAAAAAAAAAAAAAAAAAGGAAAGGATAAGCAGGGGCGAAAAACAGCCTATCTAGGGCCATGTGCATCACACCAGGTACTACCGTAGCCGCCGCCGATCACTGACCGCAGGTCCGCAAACCGATATTCTCGCAAGGCATTTGACGACTCCTACGATCTTCCGCCGAACACAACACACCCCAATCGTTAATGTATGCAAGCTATCGTGCATCTCCTATGAAGTCACAGAAGACACTTGACAATTCCTGCCGTCTTCCCCCAAACACAATGCGCACCCCAATCATTATTATCATATGCAGGTTACATTGCAGGCCCGGCACAGTCACGAATATGCACAGAGAGGTAGAGAAGGGAAAATGCACATGGGGTGGTGCACCGTAACACAGACATGTCGAGAAAGCACAAATGCTTTTCAAAATGACCACAATGGTATCGCACTGATCCCGGACAATCTGGGTGGCCGGGGTACAGATCACATATTGCCTGTCCATGCATCCAGGTTCATTCTGTATGCGGTCACCAACTTGGTCATTGCAGAATTTGCCAATACCCTTGTCGGACGTGTCAGGTCGTTTACGGCAGAGATACTTCAGCCCCCCAGGATGCTTTCAAAATGACCAAAATTCGAAAATCTGAAAATACATTATTTGTTCGTTCAGGTCTATCCACAAAGATATGTTTTCCCTCCACAACACCATCCTTCTTCTTCTTGGCACCTCATCAAATCACAGGCTTGCCCATCATCACTACCAATAGGGTCACTAGACGGGGCCCATCATCACTCTCAACTTGTCAACCATGCTCCTGCAATGCACACAATAAAATAACAGCGCTTTCTGAGTCGCTAAATAATCTCACGTTCAGCTTATTTGCACACAGCAGAGTTGGGGTTTCTTTGGTATACCTTATAGGAAGAGGCCTGCTCCCTGTTTTTCCTTCGCCGCCCCCCACGGCCTCTGGGGCGCACTTCGGGTTCACCACCTGAGATATAGTCGGCTTGCCCCCCCCTTGTAGGTCTCGGTAGGGGTAACCTATGCGCCCCCTCTACGCGCCCCCCGCCCCATCCACTCTATAGGGGTTAGGTCCAGCCCTGAGGGGATAGATAAACTTGGATAAAGGGGGGGGGACCGCACCCCAAAGACCGATAAACTTTACTACGCTGTCCGGCGCCCAGATATGAGGCTGACATGTGCTTAGACATGTCGGTAGCATAGTTTGAAAAGGAAAACAATTAAAAAAAAAAGATTAACGGCTTAGTTTGAAAAGAAAAAAAAAAGAAGACTATATAGCTTAGTTTGAAAAGAACAAAAAAAGAAAAAAGAAACAAGTGTGGCAATGGCAAGATTTGAAAGTGTAATAAAAGAGAAAAAAAGAGGAACAGCGAAAAGAGCGGCCGCCGAACTCGAAAGGGCAGAGGAAGTGCTGCGCGCCGCGGTTGGTAAATTTTTCATTTGTTTTCTTTCCCCGTCTGACACCACGGCCTACCCCTCCAGTTATGACACCCAGCCCAGACCTCGGCGCGCTGTGCTTTGAGCGCCCTTTCGGGTTTGGTGGCTGGTGTTTTCGCCTCTTCGTGTTTTTCTTGCCCTTTCAAACTTCGTTTTGTGGCACAAAAGAACTTTACCTCCGGAAAAAAAAAAAAAAAAAAAAAAAAAAAAAACAAGGAAAAGCAAGGCCTACAACCTGTTTTTCAGGATATTGTTTCAATCGTTCAAAAAGCTCTTCGACTCCAGTGCTCTCTTTCCACCCCCCATTCGCACAACTTCACAGTGATGATTAGAGAGTTTTCGTCGGGCCCCGCCGTTTTGCTGCAGCTACACGCCTCCTGTCCCTCTCCTCCGGGCAGTCTTCCCACGTCATCTACCACAGCAACCTCATCGACCTACCCTCTTTACTCTCTCAGTTAATTTCAGGTTGGTGCGACGACTTCGAGTCTTCTGAGGCTCTGCACTCTTTCATCGCACGGATTTCTGGACTGCTCATCAACGACTTCGTGCACGGGTCTTTGGTAGACACCCTGTGTGGGGTCGACAACGAGTCCCTCTTCGAAGTCCGTCCTTTCCTCTCCAGACAATTAATCTGGTGTACTGTCGGAGCAAAGAAGCTTGGAGGGACAGGTGGTTGTTCCGGTGTAATAATTATAGAAAGCTCCACAATGAGTAGGTACACATGTGCACCTACCATCTGACCCACAATAACTATAGAAAGCTCCACAATAAGTATAGAAAGCTCCACAATAACTATAGAAAGCTCCACAATGAGTAGGTACTTGGAAGGGGATAAAATATTCGCGCAGCCCAAGGATCACATGTGCACCTGCCATCTGATCCAAGAGGGCGTGACGCGAATCTGTTGTGCTGATTTTGCTGGATCAGGTCCAGGTTTAAAGGCCACAAGATAGGTTCTCTATACGCCTTTGAAGGGGGAAGGATGATTGGAGGGAAGGATGATTAGCATTAGGTGATAAAAATGCTATGATAATAGTAAACATAAAACATATTAAATCCTGTATTATTATACCGGTGTAATTGACTCGAAAACAAAGGTTCCTGAACTGACAGGGGTCAAATTTGCAAACACACACAGAGAGAGACCAAAACACCCTCCTCTTCGGGACCACCCCGTCAAAGAATGAGCAACGTAACGACAAGCTGAGGTGATTGGAGAAAAAAAAAAAGGCTCCACCACGATGAAGGAAGATGGAAGGCGGCACCAGAGCAGAGGACCCAAGTTCAACTAGCCCCCTTAAGGCTTAAACGACTAGTACACCTTCGCCGTTTCGTTTCGGCAACTGTTCTTTAGCCTATTCCCAAACTTTTAGGAGGGCCCGGGCCCGGCAACGGCTGCCGCCGTCGATAAATCTGATCGGCAGCTGTCATTTCGTTTCGTTTCGTTTCGGCCTCTCCTAAAAGGTCGGTGGCCCACTAGTTTCCAAACCGACAAACGTACTAGTGGTAAAAAAAAAAAAAAAAAAAAAAAAAGCCAGATAGTCCCGTAGCAAGCACCAAGCTGGATCAGGGCGCTCAGACTACGATTGCACTTTCATGTTGACACGGTGACAAACAACTTGAAACAAGCGATGCAGGATTCGCCTCAGACCAACAAGCTCCTCAACTGAATTGCTAAATCAGTCGGAGGTTACGCTGACAATCACAAAGAATTACCCCCACGAGCCTTTCCATTCCTACTAACCCCAATTCCTCCTCTAAATGAAATTGCTATTCCGCCTATCACAACAACTGGAAGAACCACCACAATAATAATAATAATAATAAAATAAAAAATAAAAAACGATCCAATGATCTGCAGACGAGGAGAAACAGGGAGAGAAGGCCAAAGGCTGAGTGCAATTTCAACAAAGGGTGAGTGACATGGTGCTCAAGGGAGTGAGTGGCACACAACAAGAGCGAGGGGAGAGAGAGAGAGAGAGAGAGAGAGAGAGAGAGAGAGAGAGAGAGAGAGAGAGAGAGAGAGAGAGAGGCAGGGGGTATAATCTCTTATTCCTTTGCATTATTGTTGATTCATTGCAGATGGCCTTCTACCACCCAGCATTCCTGCCCCAAGAGCAAGCGAGGAAGCGAGAGAAGCGGGATGGAGGGGGGAGAGAGGGAAGACAGAAAGAGAGGGGAGAGAGGGAGAGGGAGGGAGGGAGGGAGGAAAGCCTCTTATTCCTTGGCAGCATTAGTGATATATCGCACAAGAGCAACTAATTTAACAACCAATTTGAAAGACAATGCAACACCCTCATTATATACCGAGGGAGGGGAAGATGGGGGGGGAAGAGAAGAAGATACTGGCCACCTTCTGCCAACCTACGTAAGCATAACAACAAATCGCTCCCCCCTTGTACACTGCGTGCATGTACAAAGACAGTGCGCGGCTTGATGACCATCGATCTCCGTTCTCCTGAGAACACGATTCATATCAACGTCTGACATCGATTCCGACCCGAGCACGTGAAGACGGGACTCTCGCTTCTACCTGTCGTCACCAGAGCGTAACTCCCACTTCCACTCAACAACAAGCATGGAATGTCGAAGAAGGTGAAAACAAAAGGAAGAAACAACCCTGACGAATGGTGCTGCGCTGAAAACCGGTGTGGCTAGATACAAACCTGCAAGCTGCGAAAGACTGCAGGGCGTCTGATATATTTCAAACAGAAGTGGCTTCGAGCTATAACTGCGTCGGTATTGCTGCCACGACTTGGAGCGAACTGCGTCGGTATTGCTGCCGCTACTTACTCGAGAGCTCTCCTCTCTCTCTCTCTCTCAAGGCAACACCTCACCACCTTCCTTCCTTCCCACGGCGGGTGCGTTGTGAGCAGCACTCCCACCACTCTGCGTACACAGACTGCAAAAATAACTTTGAAAACTTTTTGAACAAGAAAAAAATTAACACAGCATCCAAGACTCAAGTGGATGTCAGTTATTATAATCCCATCTATCCTAACTTCCTAAAAACTGAGGCGAGCATTCATCGTCCCATCAACCCACACACTCCGACCTCGCAAAACTACCCGTTCACCCGCTCAAAACCCCACACACACTTCCCAGAACCATCATCACCATTTCTATCCGATACCCCTCTTTCCAATCATTAAAAAAAAAAAAAAAAAAACTCTTACTGCTCCCATAGCCCTCTTTGGAAACCCCCAACGTACTTGCACGGTGCAGAGAACTCTCTCTCTCTCTCTCTCTCTCTCTCTCTCTCTCTCTCTCTCTCTCTCTCTCTCTCTCTCTCACACACACACACACACACACACACACNTCTCTCTCTCTCTCTCTCTCTCTCTCTCTCTCTCTCTCTCTCTCTCTCTCTCTCTCACACACACACACACACACACACACACACACACACAAATGGCCTAGACACTTTCACCTTCTACTTTGTTGCGCTCGCTATCATCCCACTGATGGAATTGGCTTGCTCTTTTGCCGCCTCGACTGCTTGATCCTGCATTTTTTTTCCCAACAACCACAAACCCAATGAGCGAAAGGAGTTAACTCAGTTAAGTCTTCCTTCTCACTGAAAAAGTATGGACAACTCAGAGGCAGAGGGAGGTATCCCCATCCTTTTTTCCTTTTTTCCAAAGTCCCCACACTGCAGTAGGCAGCCCAGCCAAAAGAATAGGCGTGCATATATCACTAATGCAATTCATAATCACAATAATGGTCTGCTCCACTACTTTCATCTGCACCTAAATAGAACGCTCAGAGTCATTATAGTCGTATTTGGGGCAACTTGCAGTCTAGGTACAGGTATAATGACCGAGCGTTCTATTCGGCCGAAGACGGTAGCAGATAAGCCAATTTGAATCATAGCAGATGTGAGCATGTGCGCATCGAGTGAAAACAGAAACACCTCTTGCCAGACTGCACAGACTTCTGTGGGGACCACTACCCAAGGACAAGAAAAACCGGTCCCACAACAAGGCCTCGCAATATTTATGTAATATATGCTAGGAAGATTGTCACGGTCGGCCAGGCACTCGGACGGACGACCCCAAATCCAGGCTCTTTTCTTCTCTCGAAAGTTGGCTGTCAAGGGGAGAGGGGGGAAGGGGGGTATAAATTGGTTTTAAAGGGACTGAAGGGGTTCAAAGGGGGGTGCCGTAGTGTGATTCTGTTATTTTCTTTTTTATCCCCCCGATTCTGTGAGGAATTCCGATGCGACCCTCAGCCAAAAGTCGTTTGTATTGCAATTCTACACAACATTTCTTTTTTTCGTTTTTTTTTTTTTTTTTTGTGCTGGAGCTGCCCAGAACCCTGCCCGGCCACCCGGGCGTGTATCTGGGCACAAGTTGGGTACCTGGGCGCCCGGGAAAACAGCCTAGGTGTCAAAGGTTCTGGCCCCTTTTGTAGCATTTCCTTTCACTGGCGGAAGTTGGCCCACAGTTTGGATTACCCATACACCACTCTACCAGGTACACTGCCGTCATCCCCCAAACACAATGTCCCAGAGTCATGAACGCATACACACTCCCTGTGTCTATCACTGTAATGAGCAGTCTATAAGCACTGTATAAGCAGTCCATAAGCAGTGTCTTACCTAAACTGACACTGAAAATGCCTGTCCTCACACACACACACACACACACACACACACACACACACACACACACACACACCTGATTCCACTTTAATCTCACCGGCAGCATAGATACAGACACCCCCCCCTCCATTCCACTTTCATCTCTCTTGAAAGCACACACACACACAGCCGCGTGAAGATCTTGTCGTCTTTGGGATTATGGTACTCTATACACTCCAGATGCTAGACAGCAGATGGGGCATGTTTAGCCATGGAGAGATGGAGGTAGTGGTGACGTGAGTGGGTCGTTTGGCAGGAATGGGAGTGCCAGTGCTGCTGTGCTTGTGGGCTGACACGGAGCGGTCTCCAAGTTTTTTCTAACTATTGCGGGATCTGGTCTGTGCTTTCTTACTGGTGGATCCTTCTGTGTTAGGTATGTTGCCTTCAGCTCTTTACCTCTGTTTTTATGTATTGAGGGGCTGCCCGGTAAACCGTACGTAGGCAGAGAGGGAGGGGAGGGAGAAGACGACAACAAACGAGGAGGGGCTGTGGCAAAGTGTTTCGTCAAGTGTGCCGCTTCGGCCACAGACGGGTGTGTGCGGACTTTCCACTCAACCACACAAACGTGCGGAACCTTGCACCTTCTATTATGTTGCTCATCTTTATTTTGTTTGTTTATGGGTGGTTTGTGATGGTATGATGATGCAATGAGAGAGAGTTTGGGGATGTTGACACACACACACACACACACACACACACACACACACACACACACACACACACATTTCTCCTTTCCAAACTCTGCGCCTACCTGCGCGGATATGACCCGAGCAATGGATTTCTTGCTCGACTCTTGGAGCTCTCCTGCGAGGAGGAGCTCATCCAGTATATAGTATGCCTGCAGAAATCCCACCAAGCCATGTCGATCCCCTTTTCAGTTCACTCAGTCAACATCATCTTTTCAGTTCCGTCAACATCATTGTCAGTAACCCTAATTTCCATTCTCATGCCCCGACTTCAAGGGCATAAGCTGCCACTGCCTGACAAACATGCAGAAAAGGGGGGAAAAAAAAAAAAAACAGATGTCGTCCTACCACGTGCAACCAAATCCACCAGCACGCACAGAAATGGGAAGAGAGACACAAAACAAAGGGAAGGGGGAAACGGGAACAGCACAAGATAGAGGAAAGGGGGCATCAGCACAGGAGAGATGAACAGGAGGCAGGAATGACAAACAAGGATGAACCAGGCGGAGAAGTGAGGGATAAATAAGAGGGAAGGCAACAGGGAGGGAGGAAGAGATGCACCGACAGACAGTAGAGAAAGTGAGGAGGGTGACAGCGCAGGAAAAAAGGACGGGGGCGTTGTCATTCACAGCTTTTTATCACTCCTCGATCGCAGTTCCACATTTTGTCCTTCTTTTAGCTGGAAACTTTGGAAAGTGGTCGTCACCGCTAATATAAAATTAATCAACTAACAACTGGCCTCTCTCAGTTGGTACATGGCTGAACTGTTCTTTAAACACAGACCTGAGTTCGAACTCCACTGGAGGCAGATGAGTACAGAGTACTACAGAACGGCAAGCATGATCAGACAATTTATGTTTTAACCAGCCTCTCTCACCAAGAAGGTCACTTATGTGTCAAATTGAGAAATACAGACACTCTGCCAGTCCCTCTCACCAAGAAGGTCGAGGGCGGAGCTTGAAGTTTCATATCATGACTAAATCCTAATTTCAAGATAAGTATGGAGCTCTGTGGATTAGTACTAGCTTTATATCCATAAGGTCAAGCTCGCAGACCTAGTGAGGGCCAAAATGTTCGCAAAACTAGTGAACATACTGCATCAAACAGCAAACAAGGTATTGCAGTTTCGAATAGAACCTTATGGAAGTTGAATATCAGGTCAAGCTCGCAGACCTGCAACACAGAGTGGGAAATAGATGAACACCCATACCACAAAGGTTTGACATTCACGTCAGTCAATTACACAGTCACAAGCTGTGAGCATCTCTGGTCCGGATGACAAGCAAGGGCCTATTTTAGTATTTTCAAACTATTTCGACATTTTAGAACATAGCAGCAATGTCTGGCTATTCATATCCTGCACTCTACGTTCAGGTAAACAGGGGAGCCAATCAGCGCAAGGAATCCATGCCGAAAAGACTTACTTCAAAAGAGCAACGAATGTCTCATCTACAAGCATTGATTCACCGACAAGGCAAAGAGCATTGCTGCACAACAAACGAAATGGGAAAAAAAAAAAAAAAAAAAGGAGTACATCTGCCCACAGAAGATGGCAGAATGCATTGCTACTATTTATGGGAAACTGATGAATCATTCCGTTTTCTGTGGGAAAATGCAGTTGTTTCCTTCTTGTTTTGTGTGCCGGTGCCAGCCAGGCCCAAAGTCTTGCTCACAAATGCACGAGATATTGACAATGTTGATCTCCCTTGATGACGAAAGACGCCAACCAAAACACCTCCAAACAATCGATACAACACCAGTAATAGTATCTCTCCACCAACGCAACAAATCCCTATGTACGATCCCACTCTAGACTCCTAGAGTAAATCTACAACACCCTGAAATACTGTACGGACAGACCCAGTGCTAAGTCTCTCAATCACCCTCCTCACTCTCCTGACGAATAATGAACACGTCTGAAGCACTCTTGGCATCCACAGCTAAGTCCCTCGTCAGTGAGTCATCTCTCTAGCTTCTTCCTCCTACTCTCCTAGGATCTCCCTTCCTTAGCACTACTTCTCTCCCGCATTCTCTCTCCCTTCTACAAGTGCAGCTATGGTTTCCGCTCTTCTCCTTCCCTCGTCAGTAAGTCATCTCTATAGCTTCTTCCTCCTCCTCTCCTAGGATCTCCCCTCCTTAGCACCACCTCTCTAAAGCTTCTTCCTCCTCCTCTCCTAGGATCTCCCCTCCTTGGCACCACCTCTGTCCCACATTCTCTCTCCCCTTTACAAGTGCCGCTATGGTCTCCTTCCCCCAGCAGTAAGCAGGCCGACTGATGCCGCTGCTGGTACTGGCTGGATCCTATGTGCGGCCATGAAGCGCCCACGGGGCTTCCCCAGCCAGAATGTGTGTGGCGCTGCACCCTACCTCTCCCTCTAGAGGGAGGCTTGGATCTGCGCTAGGCCAGTAGGCACTGCCATCCGCAAGTATTCCGAGGCAGCTGCAGCCTGCCTAGATCCAGGTGACCTGGCCGGTACCTCTCTGGCTTTGTCCAGGTCCGACCTTAACCCAAAATAGGCCAGTGCCTACTTCGTATCCGCCCCTAGTTCAAGGCCTCCTATCGGCACTTATTACTAATGAGAGGCCCACTTGGCCTCACATTAGGTTTCACAGACTCGAAAGCGAGGCTCGTCAGACTGTGTATAAACATGAAGACATCCAAACGCATGATCTGCACCCCTTCTAACAGATGTGCCCAGATGCATTCTGACTGGGTTTGTCTTGGCTTTCTCAAACGTCTCCTCGTAAAAAAAAAAAAAAAAAAAACAGATCAAGAATCAAGATCATACTCAATCATATCCACGGTCAGCTTGTGAACCACCAGTGCGTCTCTCAGCTATTCTGCTCCCAGCTACTATTCTGATTCCGTACAGCTGTCTACCCATCGCATTTTGAGCCAATGGGGATGGGCTCAGCCTACCAGTTCCAGCTAAAAAAGGAAACGAAAAGAAAATTGTCCCCGCGCCGATTCCCTTTTTGGCGTGCACAGCAGCAATCCGAGTCGGGAAAGAGAGGCTCCGACAACCTGGTGGTTTTTCTAAGATAATCCAAGATCAAACAAGGTTGGCAGCTTGGTTTATCAGTCAGACAGACAGACAGAAATTTCCATCCATTTGCTGCCTTGCATAGTTCGCTAGACCAAGAAGCTCATTGTTGCATTGACTCTTGCCACTGCAAAGAATAAGAACTTCTGAAAAGAGTCAAAAAGACTCAGAATAGAAAAAAAAAGTCGAAGGAAGTCCTTCGGGACATCCGTTAAAATTGGAACGATACAGAGACGATTAATTAGCATGGCACGCATAAATCGAGAAATGGTCCAAAGTCTCCAAACTAGAAAAAAGAAAAAACGAAAAAAAGAAACAGAAGAAGAATAAGAAAAGAAGGAAAGAAAGAAACGAAGAGAAAGGAAAGAAAAAGAAAACAGACGTTCAGAAGTGTAGAAGAAATAAGGGAGGAAGGTAGAGCACTGTTTCATTCTTTTCACGCTGATGGGCTCACCACCAGATGTGCCTGGTTGAGCAGCAGCCCAGCACATCCGTCAATTTTTTCACAGAATCCAAATGAGTGAGGAAGAGAAGGAACGGACGGAAGAACCCAGGGGGAGGGGGGGGGGGGGGGGGGGGGGGGGAGGAGGGAGGGAAGGAGAAAAAAGATGAGAGATGGGCGAATAGTGGATGTGGTTGCCAAATAGAATGAGTGTCAGTATGCCATACACTTCTGACAGGAACTGTTTTCACCATCCTCTCAGTGAAACCATGTCAGCTCATGCCCAGATTTCTAGGCAGTGGAACGCCAATGACAATGGCTAATAAAAGAGAGATCATTTGGAAGCACAGACTTCTAAACATGGCAACATGATAACTTTTCTGTTCCAACCCGCTGACAACAACTTCCGATTTTACGGAGTTCAAGAAAGCCACCATAGACTGAGTGGGCCCACCCACTAAGGTAGCTGCGAGATGATCACACACACATTTTTCACCGAGAACCACCGATTTCAAACCCAACCACCGATTCCACATCGGAACATCCACAGGGACATACGCACTGAACCACTCCACACACACACACACACACACACACACACACACACACACACACACACACACACAGCACAGAGCACACACAATCATCTTACCCGTAACTTCTCTTATTTTCTTCTTCTCACTCGTTTCTTCTTATCATGCTAAGTATTTTCTTTCTGTTGCCCACTTTGCGAGCTATCTGCTCTTTTCCTGTGCTTCTGCTCTGTGTCTAAGTGAGCACCTTTAAGATGTGCCAAATAGTCAGTGTCTGTTTGCATGGAAGTGGCTGCAAGGCTGTTTTTGACGTCACGTGTTGGCCGTCCACTTACAAAGGGGGTCAAAGGATATCATGACTCAAAAAGATCAATATGCGGACTCTGCAGACTGTTGAGGGTTCAGCCGAGTGACGAGTCCGTGAGAGTCTGTCGCTATCCTCCTTGTTATTTTCTCGTGTTCTTTTCTCGGGTTCTTTTCTCGTGTTCTTTCCTCTCTTCCTTCTGTACTCATGTTTGTGATGACTCGGTGAGAGTCTGACACTATTCCAATTTTTTTACTCGTGTTCTTTCCTCTCTTCCTACTGTATTCATGTTCCGAGTCACGCTATCCAAGTCTTACGCAAGAGTCATCATGTCCGTGGTGTTGGTCCTTCAAGGTTGCGGTTCGGAGCACTTTGTGCTGGAGAACTACTGTGTACTTCTTTATACAAACATCACCACACACACACATACACACACCCTCCTGATGAGTCGATGAAAGTCTGAGTATGGCACGGTTATCCTTTTTTGTAGAGTAGTGGGAGCGAACATGACAACACAACAGGACCTTGCTTGCTACCGGTAGTAGCTCTTCATTTAGGTGGACTGATTCGGCAAGGGTCGGGGCCGTACTACCGGTCATGCAAGTGGATGTCACTGCAGAGTGGGTGCGTACTGTGGTTTTTAGGACTGTGCCAGACTACAGTAATATCTCGGACAAGGCTGCCATTTTTGTCAGGGGATTGGATAGATAGTCTGCTGGAGCTGAAGGGTTGGTGTGAGTAAAGTCAACCGCTTTAATCAGGGGTAAAAAGTCAAGTTTGGCCGATCTGGCAAGTCCCTCTTATCCATCAGCCAAATGCATGCTGAGCAGACTGTCCAGTTTCAACCACCTGATGAGTCATTGAAAGCCCTGACACAGTCAGGTTTTTTTTTGCGGAGTTGGGTGTACAGCATATACGGCAACACACACACACAGACAGACAGACAAATTCGAACACAGGCCCACTCCCCTCCGACACAAACACACACACACACACACAAACAAACACACACACATCCTTCTTCCTTAAACTGTTTCTCCATCTGACCGGCAGAGGGCTAGGCTGGTTTGCCCTTGCTCATCTGCTTGGTGGCACACTTACATTTCCAAAGTAGCGGTCAAGGATTTCCACATAATGATGAATGGTTTCCAATGTCGCCAGCTCATTGTCCTCCACATCGACACACATGACGAAGTACAAGCTTGCATACCTAAAAGAACAAGACAAGCAAAGCCCTACTGTTCATCAGAAAAAGTCTGAAACGAAAAGAAGAGAAACCAATAATCAGCATGATCAGCAAATCATCCCATGTCCCTCCTCCCTCCATGCACCATCCTAGTGTTATGCAAGATCCAGACACAAAACACCTCTCTCTCTCTCTCTCTCTCTCTCTCTCTCTCTCTCTCTCTCTCTCTCTCTCTCTCTCTCTCTCTCTCTCTCTCT